TGGTGCACACTGTCATCCTAGCGCTCTAGGGAGGCAGAGGCAGGAGGATTCCGAGCTCAAGCCCTGCCCCTGCAACTTAACAATTTGTCTAGACCTTGTGTCAGAATAAAAACCAGCTGTGCTTATGAAGACCCCTGGACTGCAGCCTCAGTAAAACAACAACAATAAATAATAATAATAATAAATAAATAACAATAATAATGCATGTACCCTGTAACTACATACAATGAATGTGCCCAATAAAATTTTTGTAAAAAGTAAATGTGAAAGAGGAAAACCTCAACAAGAAAACCTTTTTTCCTACACGTATGGTCAGCGGGCTCTTCTCTATGTGTTCATGCTTCTTCGATCTTTTCCTTCCTCGGAGCAGTATTTATTTATCCCTGTGCCAGGCGTGGCCCTTGCCCTGGTGGGTGGCCAGACTTGAGCGGCCTTAAAACAGTCTTGGGAATGGCCACTTACCTACACTGGTGGGAAGCGAGGGCTGTGGTCAGAGCCCCAAGGATGTGAATTTCATGTCTTTCATCCTGGTGCCCTGGCTTTGCCAAACTGAGTGGGATTTAGGAGCTGGCAAAGCTGCTGTGTTCGGGAATCCCTTATGCTGTGGCAGGTTTGGATTTTGAGTGAGCTAAGAAATAGTTCGTGCCTGGAAAACAACAACAACAAAAAACCCAAATGATTTTACTCTTGAGTTGTGTCCCTGTAAAGCAGGATCTGAGAGGAGAGCACAAGCCCGGGAGCCGGGGTTGCTTGCCTCTGGGTGAGGGCCCCACCACCTAACCTTGGCTGTGTGTGGATGTCCTTGTTTTCATCTGCTAGCAGCGTTGGGCGTTGCGGGCTGGTGCACCGGACCACACAGCAGAAGTGCGCATGTTGGCAACTGCTTATCTGGGCCTCTGCTACAACCTTAAGCTTCATCTTCAAGTTTAATCAGTAATAATATTCAGTTACTTTGATTTTAAGTAACTTTAATATCGTCGAGTCAAACATTTGAATTAGTTGTGAATTTTACAGTAATTGATGATTGCTTTGCTGATAAAATTCTAGGGCTGGGAGGATATTATATTTGTTTGTTTCCTTTTTTTTTGAGACAGTGCCTTGCTCTGCAGCTCAGGCTGGCCTGGAGTTCACTCTGTAGCCCAGGCTGGTCTGGACCTTGCAGTGATCCTCCTGCCTCAGGCTGTCTTGCGCTGGGACTACAGACCTACGCCACCATGCCCAGGTGTTTCTTTTTTTAATTAAGTAAAGGTTGCCTGCTTATTTAGGAGGTGGAGTTTTGTGTTTTGTTCTGTTTTGCTGGTGGTGGTGGTGGTGGTACTCTGGGTAGACCCCATGGCATAGTGTATGCTAGGCAGGTGTTCACCCTGAGCTACGTACTTAGCCCAGCTACTTAAAAATGCCTGCCCATACCTACATTTGTTGTAAATTACGAAAGTTTGGATGTGGGGGCGGGACTAGGGATGGAACCTAGGGCCTTTGCACTGTTATATCCCCAGCCTTTTTTAATTTTTGAGAGTCTTACCAAGCTACTAAGTTGTCTGGGCTGGCTTGAACTTTTGATCCTCCTGCATCAGCCTCCCTGGGTACTAGGAATGAAGTGTGTACTACTCCCCCCCATTATGGCCTGTGCCTAGATGTCCCCCCAGGCCCCATACAGTCATAGGTGAGGCTTCTTCCTAGGTGGCTGAATCTATGATGTGTGATTGATTCATGGTGCAAAGCTGGGATTAAGAGTGGGTATTTATTAAATCAGTTCACTGATTGGTTTGGCACCACCCTAATCCCAGTAGCCTGGATAAGATATAAGGGACAGAAAGAGGCTTGTCTTGTCCTTTGGCCTGCTTTCTTTGCTGCCTCCTGCCCACTATGAGCTGTTTCTCCTCTCTGATGCCCCTCTGCCATGTGCCACCATGCCTTGGAGCCAGCCAATTACGGGCTGAAACCTCTACAAACTGTGATCTAAGTCAACCTTTCCTCCTTTGATGTTGGGTTTTGGGTATTTTGCCTCAGCAATGAGAGAAGAGGAATTAAGACCGCACCCAAGTATGAAACTTTCTAAGAAGCAAAGGGAAGTCCTAAGCAATGCCACCCCACTTGTGAAAACCCTCAGCAAGCTGGAGGGGCTGAGAGTACAAGTCCGCATACCATCTTGATGTTCCACATATAGGGAATTCCAAGTAGTCATGTCCATCTATATTTCTGCTCCAGATCATGTAAATATTCTCATTAGTAAGCAATCTCAGATCTGTTCAGATCAGGTTTTGGTGCCAAATGAATCTGTAGCAGATTTTTAAAAATTCCAGTGTCTGTTGGATTTTAATATTGTTATGAGGAATTGCAGGTTTGTGTGATGTTTAAAGTGGTATTTGATTCCCTGGAATTCTGCAGTACAATGGGCTCCCCTGTAGACTGTGTGCTCTTAGACACATGCCTGGCATAATATATGTGCTTACTCAGTTGGACAGGTGGCTGGATGGGTGGATGGATGGATTGGTGGGCAGGTGGATGAGTGGGGTGGGTAGGTGGGTGGGTGGATGGATGGCTGGCTGGCTGGCTGGCTGGATGATGGGTGGGTGGGTTGATGGATGAGTGAGGTGGGTGGGTGGATGGATGGATGGATAAATGGATAAATGGATGGGTGGATGGATGAGTGAGGTGGGTAGGTGGGTGCATGGATGGGTGGGTGGATGAATGGGTAGGTAGGTGGATGGGTGGGTTGGGTGGGTGGGTGGATGGGTGGGTGAGTGGATAGATGAGTGAGGTGGGTGGGTGGATGGATGGATCGGTGGATGGTTTGATGGATGCCTGGGTGGATGAATGAATAGATGGATGATATGTATGTTTGGACTTAGGCTAGAAACTAAAAACTACTTGTGTGCCTTTTGCAAACCCAGAGATCAACAAAATAACTCTTATAGGAAAAAAATAGAGGGCGACCTTTACAAGAGGAGAAGCATCTGAGTCAGAAGAGCCAGGCAGACCCACCCCACTCCCTGTAGTAAATATCCACTTGCTTGGCTGGGTTACCCAGGCCAAAATCTTGGAGTTGGCTTTGACCTCTCACTTTTTTCTAAGCCATCAGCAAATCTTGTCACCCTTGTGTTACCACAGCTCACTACCTCCACTGCCAGCCCCCTGGTCCAAGCTGTCATTATCCTCAGTGATTTGGTAGTGGCTTGTGTCACTCCATCCTCCCAGTAGCTGGCTGGTGGCTGTTCATTGGGATGCTATTAATTCCCAGTCCAGACCTTCCCTTGGCTGCCTGCTGCTGGCCTTGAAAGTCCTGGGCCCCCCAACTTGCAGTCTTTGCCCAGACTTTTGGGGGCCCCTCACCCTCCCTTTAGGCCTTTTCTCCAGTGTCACCAGGTCACCTGCTGGGAAAGAAGGCCCTGAGCCTCCTTCCTGGCGTCTTTTGTCTCCTCAGTGTTCATCAGTATGGAGCGTCCTGTGACTTGTATACATTCATTTTATTACCACTGTCCCCTCTGTAGAATGGCACATGGTGAGAGGATGAAGCACAGTGTCATTATCCTGTCCTCTCAGCAGCCAGGACATCCATAATAGCAGCTGGTACGGTTGTCCTGCTGGAAATAACTCCTGTTAATTATTTAACACAGGGCTTGTCACCTAGTAGGTGCTCAGCAAAGACTAAATGTTGTTGTTGTTAGCAGTACTGGAGATTTAACAGTGTTTGCATTGAGCTACATCGATAGGCCTTTTTAAAAAAATTATGTTTCTGAAATAGGGTCTCACTGTGCAGTTCAGGCTAGCCTTACACTCATTATGTAGCCCAGGCTGGCCAGCCTTAAATTTACAGTGCTCCCCCTGCCTCAGCCTCCTGAGT